TCTCTCTCTATAAACTGCAATTTCATGTGTTAATACGGACGTTAGGTACGGAAGGGCTCTAAACGTCAAATCGCATAAAATTATTAATTTAAGATTTGAGCGTAAGGAAACAAAATAACGTTAAACTAATGGTTCACTTGATATTTTTTCACTTATTAATCAAAGAAAAACAGCTAAATATGCAGATATCCATTAGCTAAAATTGGAATGTTTAAAATTTTTCCTCTTCTTCAGGCAATTTCACAGTTTTCACAAACTCGCCCGGAAAAGTAGTCCGGCCGACTTCGGGCTATTGAGAAGCAAATATTACTCGCCGAAAGTGGCTCTCAACAGCCCGAGAACGAACCAAAGAAACACAAATTTGACACTTTCGGGCATCTGTGGGCGAGCGAAACAATAGACTTCCTGTGCGTCCCGGTTTCAAGAATGCAAAAGTTGGCAATCCTGGTTTTACACCTATCACGGGCAATTTTTTTTATTATTCCTTTTCCTGCTTTTCAGATCTAAGAAAAATGGGTATCTATGGTCCGATTTGATTTATATTCAGAACTAAATTGAGATTAATTGAACAATTTTTTGTTTGATTGTTTAAGGGCCAGTTTTTCAATGCAAGTTTAAACTTTGTTCACGTAAACTGCGCTTATCTTGGACAGCTGGTTGATATTTTAATTGCTAAACTTAGTTTAAACCAGCCAGCTCGAGCGTTTAAACCTGAGGTTTCCAATTTTTTTTTTCTCGTAGACCCCTTTCGAAATTTTACTGGTTTGGGTGGACCCCCTGCTGCTACATTTCTAACATATTCCGAAAGCCCACAAGAAATGTTAAGTGTAAATTTGCATCGCAGGGGAATTCCAAGACTGAATTCGGAGTGTCAAAAATAAAAATAAAATATTATCTTTTGTTCTATTTATTAAAATAATGTGAACAGAGCTCGTAAAGCCATCAAAGTACTTTCTGAGGAGTTATATTTTTAAAGATCACTCCGAGCGCTAGCGTTATTTACATTCTCTTCACCATAAACTCCTCACATGTTCGGCTCACTCATGAATTTGAATTTGCCGTATTTGTAAAATAGTTTATTTCAGTTGATTGCATCATTTATATTTTTATCGCTGCGAGTTTTAAAGTGATGCCAAAAATATTTACCACTCACATCTTTAAAACACAAAACTTGAAACAACAAAACCGCAAATCTTTTTACGTCAAGCTTTAAATTTAGGAACTGACAATAGAGAAAAGACCTAATCTATAAAAAACGATGACAAATAAACAAGCAAGCAAGAAGCACAAGAAGGGTTCCACCGTCTCATCCTCTTCAAGGCAGGATGGGCAAATGAAGTTGTCATTTACGCCTGTCATAGTCAGATGTTTGTGCCACGTGAAGTAACCAGTCAGTAGTCCAATAAGTTGTCTGCAGTCCCGTCTGCTCAGTGAGAGCAGAAAACTAGATGGACCTGAAATTGAAGGCAACTTGAGTTTTGCCCACCTGCATCCCAACGATACCTCCCAGTCATTGCTGAGCGAAGTATTCATCCAGTTTTCGATGATGGCTTCATTGGCCGAAGTGGGAAATGCCATAACTGGTTGCGGATCGAGGAATGCCTGGTCTAAGCCAAATGTGGGTAAATGGTCAGGTGTCTCATTACCAGGTACTCCCGAGTGACCTGGCACCCAGAGTAAAGCAAGCTCGCTATGTTTACCAACAAAATTTAGTCGAGACTTTCATTGCCGAACTACTTAAATAGGGGGCTGACCAATGCCTTAAGTGCGGCTTGACTGTCACTGCAGACACGTAAACTCCTTTCCCTCCACCTATTTTCCAGTACATAGTCCCTGGCTTTGAGGATTGCAAATACCTCATCCCGGAAAACGAAGCATATTCCCCAAGAGAAAGGTGAAGCTTATCCCCATTAACTTCGCAAAAGACCCCAGCTCCTGACCTAGAGTCAGTTATGGAGCCATCAGTAAAGATCCGACAATCTGTACGTCCGGACTCAGTGCTGGAATTAAACCAGCATTCAACCTCAGGGAACTCAACATTATAGAATCTCTTCAGGAAAGGTAATGGTGACGTACTATCCTGAGGCATTGGAAAGACACAAGTGCTCAGATCTCTGCCGCCAGCAATTTTCGCCTCATTCCACTCAGTGTTATACCAACATCCGTTGTATGAAGACGATTGTACGGTAAGTACAGCAGTGCGTCAAGAGCACATTACACTACTAAAAAAAATTGAGTGAAATAAAGAGGCTATCCAGCAAACCTTTTGGTTCTTTACGATCGAAACTAGATAAATTTTCGTGGGCTCCCCCCCCATATTTTTTCACACCAAGGTAGAATCCCGTCAAGTCTCCCGTGGACCCCTGGGGGTCCGTGTACTGAAAAACTAACGCTATGTTAAACCTAAGATAATACTGTAACTAAAAAATTTCAAATAAAATAGTGTCAATAAAAATTCAAAACAAACTAAAATAAATAAAATAAGTCAAGGCTTTTGTTAAGGTTACTGAAAGCTAAGTGATAAGTAGAATTACGGAAATTAACATCAGTATTTAAGTACCTACAAACATATCGTCACCCTTATGCCAGACACAGGAATGTGCAAATTTACCAATTTTGAGTTATTGGGTTGACTTGATTAACCTTTAGATGTCCTATTTTATAACAAGATTCAGAATACCATGCGTGGACGCAAACCACAAATTTTGCCATATCAATTACAAAAATATGGGTTTTTGTATTTTATTCATAAAGAATAATAAGTTGTAATAACAATTTAAGTATTTACATATAAAAAGGTAATTAATTGAAATAGATGTACACTTGTGTTTCGCTGTATGACAGTCTTCGCTGGAATATAAAACGCAACTCCGCTCTGCTTACGCTCGAAATTTACTTTTCCCCTGATTGCCGATGTTGCCAACCAGGGTTGCCAGGAGTTGGGAAATGTGATTGGAGATTACATCATTCCCACATAAATGTAGAGTTACGCCTGGTAAAAAAAACTTTCAAACATTATTTCCCAAAATTAAAATTTTTACACATTCATGTTTCTGGCGACGATATAACGACCTCTTTGCGCGGAATTATCGTATGTGCCAGAAACCAAATTTTACAGGACAGCGTGTTTTCTACCTTTAAAATTTTTTGGAATTTCGTATACTTAATTTTTTACTGGATCATACGATAAGTTTGCACACAATGAAAAATTTGCGCTACAATATTTTAACAGATGATGCGTTGTAGGGATGCCAGTGGCAAAAATACATCGATTTTTTCCTCCCATCGATGCATCGAAACTTACATCGATATTTGTCGATGCATCGGAGGGCGTACATCGATACGCATATAGTTTTCCTGGAAATAAAACGAAAACAATTTCAAACAATTTAACAAATTTTTATTTTGGTGTACTTACAAATTATGGTGACCCAAACAACACAAACATGGATGCATTGATGCATCGACCATTTATACATCGAGCGGAAAATTTTCGATGCATCGAAACAAAACATCGATATTTTCGATGTTTTTTCGAGATCCCAAATGCGATGTGAGGTGTGGAAGAAAGTTGCATCAACAAGTCAATTTCGAAAAAATGGCACACACGATAATTTCGCGCAAAGGGGTCGATATCTCCAATGAAAATTAATAAATTTCCCATTAAACTTTTAGTATAAGTTTAGAAACTTTTGGAGTATTGCAACTCTTACATAAATCGTTCATTTAGAATTAAGAACTAGTTCACTTAGTTCGTAAAGTGAAATAGTACAATGAACGAAACAGTTAGTGAACGACACAACTCTATGAACGGTCCATATTATTAGTTGTACCCATAGGGTTGCCAGATTTTTCATGCGCGAAATCAGTACATTAGACTTTTTCATGCTAAAAAAATCAGTACTTTTCAGTACATTTTCATTCAAAGCAAAATTATTAATGTAAGTAACAGAAAATAATTTAAAACGCCTGAGTTCTTGTTTTTAACCAGATTTTGGTATATAAATAAAATATAGTTCATTAAAAATATAAGTGTTATTCATTTTAACATGAGTGTACACATCATTATACACAGGAGCCAATAAATTATTTTATATTTGTGACTTTGAATAGCAATAATGACCTCATTCCCATTTTCAGTGTTTAAATAGTCAACGAATTCTTTCATTTTAAAATTACTTTTAATTTGAAGTTCACTTTCAAAAATTTTAATTAGAAGCCGGTTTCTCTCTTTGCGACAGGAAGCAAACTTTATTTAAGAATCTTAAGAGATCCTCTCATACTGTGAAAAAGTACCACTTTTTAAGGAGGTCATCTATATTTCCGCATGGCTTAAATAATTATTTAACTACGCAAAAACTGTTAAAGACTAAGAATTCGCTAACAAGAGTATCTAGCTCTATGTCTTGTATGCAAAACTCTTTTACAAAGTCAGTAAATTGAGAAAAAGTAGTTGTAAGTTGTAGGCAAAAGCCATTCGAATATTGAAATTTATTGTTATTAAACTGAAATTTATTTTCAAGATAACCAACAACACTCGCCAAAAATTTAAGCCTTCTTTTTAAATAATTTAAGCTTAATTTAATATTATCGCAACTGGTACGTAACGACCCGGCGATATGCCCATAAAACGATTGATCTTTTTGTTGTATTAATTTCTTGGGCATATTAAATATTATCTAAAACATGTCAACTATAATTTAATTATTTTCTTCTTATTTTTTTACAGTTTTAAGAAAGTTCCAACGTTATGTAAAAACCTTAAGAAAATACTAAAGTATTTTGTTTGAATAGAAAATTCAGTACAAATTTTAAAAATCAGGACATTGGCGTACTGATTGAAGATATGAATAAAATCAGTACAGTACTGATAAAATCAGTACGTCTGGCAACCGTATGTACCCATTATATACGTTGAAAGATGATTATTGGTGACAACTTTTACCACTAATAAAAATGTTTACGATGCAACTTATTTTTTCTTCTATAATATTTTTCCCTAGACCACGCCCTCCGGAAACCCTCCCAAGATAATAATTTTCTGTATTCGCCCCTCAGTGTAAATAGTAGCAACCAATAATGCTCCGTGTTAACTATCGAAATCATCGAGTGCGAACACTGACGATAGTTTTACAGCCGTAGGTGTATGCAAATATTGAAAGTCATTTAATCCAACCAGGTATTTATAGTGTTAAAACAGCGTATACCCCCATTTAATACTGATGACGAACTAAGTTATAAATCTTTTTTAACCACAGCGAAGCAAACGCCTATTCGCCTGTACTTGAAATAAAACTGATTTTAAAAATACACTGCAGTATTTCTTATCTCCCTGCTAGTATATGATAAATATTTACATACGTCAAAAGTATGTTCTTATCTTCTTTTGTGCAATGAAATGTAACAATTTTAATTTTTTATGTTGTTTTTCAATGACATTCCAGTTGCGGGATTATCAACAATCACAGTTTTGAATACTACATTCTACTACATAATTCATCAAGCGAACGAGAGCAACAACTGTAGAATAGCTAAAAATGAACGAAACTCAGATAAACAACTTTCTGCGCTGCCTAATACAGATCGATGACCTTAACTATTTGGCATTACACGCACACTCCGCCGGTATAAGTGACCTGAATTCCACCACAGTAGCAACACATAGTAGTGATAGACAGCCAAAGCATGACGATCACAACGATGACACGTCGAGCAGTCACGACCTCCTCATCGCCAAGGTGACCGCCATGGTGGTGCTATTCTGCGCCAGCGCGCTATGCGGCAGCATTCCATTCCTGCTGAATCGATTTTTTCGATGGACAGAAAGACATGCAAATACACGTTCGGCAACGGTTGTGAAGTGCCTGCTATATTTTGGTGGTGGTGTGCTGCTGGCCACAACATTCTTACATCTGCTACCGGAAGTACAGGAGTCTATCGAGCAATTGCAGGAGTGCGATATACTACCCACACTGAGTTTTAGTATGGCAGAGTTACTCATGTGTAGTGGCTTCTTCCTGATGTATCTGATCGACGAGCTCCTATACTCGTACATACATCAACATGTGCGATTGATGGAGCATGATGCTGGCGCCGCTTTCGAACGCGGTCGTAGCATACGCAACAGTTATTTAATGAGGGGTAGCAATAAAGACCCCACTGCGCTTTCAGAGGAACCTAATAAGGGGTGCGATATTGCCAGTTTTGAAACCAAAAGCGAACCCAAAACTGAGGGGGCATTGGCGGTGGCGGGCGTATCCGAAACACCTGGAAGAACGGGTTCACTTTCACTGCAAAACTTGATTGCCAATGACGTAGAGAATCAAAAGTATAGGCAAAAGCAATACAAGGAGGATATGTCGGGCGATCACCAGTTGAAAGAGCAAACAGAGGGCAAGGAATCATACGAAGTTCCCCAGGTAATACCCCAACCACACCACCACCACCATCATCACCACCATCATGCTCATCAGCAGCAACACGGCCACTCACATTTCCCGCTCGAAGTGGGCACCGACGGCAGCGATGTGTTCGCGTCTTCTCTGCGCGGTCTATTTATTGTCCTTGCACTATCTTTGCACGAAATGTTCGAAGGCATGGCCATAGGTCTAGAAAGTGATGCCTCAGATGTGTGGTTCATGTTCGGTGCCGTGTCGGCGCACAAGTTGGTACTGGCTTTCTGTGTCGGCGTCGAATTAATTGTGGCGCGTACGCGTTTCTTACTTTGCACGGTATACATCCTCACATTCGCCGTGGTCAGTCCCATTGGCATCGGTATTGGCATACTGATCAGTCATAACGAAGGTATAACATCGCCCACCATGTCATCTGCCATACTGCAGGGACTTGCCTGTGGAACGTTGCTGTACGTGGTTTTCTTCGAAATTCTGCAAAAAAATCACGCCGGGCTCATTGCTTACCTTTCATTGCTGGTCGGATTTCTAGTCATGTTCGGACTCCAACAGCTTGGTAAGTAAAAAACACCAACAATTTTGAAGTCATGAAAATCTAAAAATTAAATTTTTACTAAAAAACAACAATAGCATTATTTAAAAATAATAATAATACATAGTTTTGCGCTTACACATATGTTAGTGTTTGGCCGAGCTTCTCCTCCGATTTGTGGCGTGCGCCTTGATGTTGTCACAAAAAGCGGAGGGACCTACAGTTTTACGCCGACTCCGAACGGCGATTGTATTTTTATGAGAAGCTGTTTTTCATATCAGAAATAGACTCGGAGGTTTGCCATTGCCTGCCGAGGGGCGACCGCTATTAGAAAAAACTTTTTTCTTTTTTCTTTATTTACATTGTGTTGAACCGGGCTTGTAGCCAGGCCCTGCGGTATGGTAAAGCGCACGCTAGCCACTACACAACAGCGGCCGCCTACTCCTAAATAAACTTAGTAAATCAGAAAGGCTTATGGAAATTCAGAAATAACCCTACTAAGAAAAATGAATAAAGTAATTTTCTCGGAAAATTTACGTGATGGTCATAAGTTTTGTAATAGCTTCGTATATAATATCTGCCTAGGGTAACCACCTTTGCAGATGCCCAGACCCCGAGATTGAAAAATATAATTATTACCTCAGTGAAATGGTTATATGTACAATGGTTCTTTTGGAATTTTTTCGTGAAGCTGTCCATACATACAGCCAGTGTTGCCAGGATAAATTGGCCAAAAAAGCGGATAAAAACGGCTAAAATGTTTCAACTAAAATTCACATGTTTTTTTTTTAAATAAATCTCAAGTCGAAAGACTAGTAAATTCATTAAATAAATCTCAAAAACAGAGACTGATAAATTCATTACAAATTATTTTTGTTTAACAAAGGAAACTCGTTATACGTAGCCAAGCATTACGCCAAGAAGACGTTTTCTTTTCTATCGAAAAAGTTTGCCTTCTTATATTGTAACATTTGCACTAGGTTACTTTTTTACTGCAAAATGGCTATATTAGTACAAAGTCTTGCACTATTGCTTAGTCGGAGGGCAATATTTTGAGAAATGAACACGTAAAGCTTAGGAATGGCGAATCGTTCCCGTTTTTAATGACTATGTGCACATGCCTGATACAATTATCCTCAGACATTGTCTTCCCAGAGAGGTTTGCTTTATTTCGTTATTTTGTAAAGGCTCTGTTATGCATACTTGGCATTGCGTGCACTGCTATACCATTTTTACGTAGAAATCAAAAACCAACAGACTTCTACGTATGTAGTGCTGTGCGTTGAGTAACCGCTTACACGCGAAGCTCATTTAACAGATTCCTTATGTGACAACACTCAAGCAATGCCAAGTATGTATAACAGAGCCTTAAGTGTTGTGAATTAAACTTCACACTTAAATTTAAGACATCCGTAACTAGGGTTGCCAGATTTTTTATGCGCGAAATCAGTACATTAGACTTTTTCATGCTAAAAAAATCAGTACTTTTCATTACATTTTCATTCAAAGCAAAATTATTAATGCAAGTAACAGAAAATAATTTAAAACGCCTGAGTTCTTGTTTTTAACCAGATTTTGGTATATAAATAAAATATAGTTCATTAAAAATATAAGTGTTATTCATTTTAACATGAGTGTACACATCATTATACACAGGAGCCAATAAGTTATTTTATATTTGTGACTTTGAATAGCAAATAAATTCCCATTTTCAGTGTTTAAAAAGTCAACGAATTCTACACCTTTCATTTTAAAATAACTTTTAATTTGAACTTCACTTTCAAAAATTTTAATTAGAAGCCGGTTTCTCTCTTTGCGCCAGGAAACAAACTTTATTCTTAAGATCCTCTCATACTGTGAAAAAGTACCACTTTTTAAGGAGCTCATCTATATTTCCTCATGGCTTAAATAATTTTTCAACTACGCAAAAACTGTTAAAGACTAAGAACAAGAGTATCTAGCTCTATGTCTTGTATGCAAAACTCTTTTACAAAGTCAGTTAATTGAGAAAAAGTAGTTGTAAGTTGTAGGCAAAAGCCATTCGAATATTGAAATTTATTGTTATTAAACTGAAAGTTATTTTCGAGATAACCAACAACACTTGCCAAAAATGTAAGCCTTCTTTTTAAATAATTTAAGTTCCATCATATTATCGCAACTGGTACGTAACGACCCGGCGATATGCCCATAAAACGATTGATCTTTTTGTTGTAGTTATTAATTTCTTGGGCATACCAAATATTATCTAAAACATGTCAACTATAATTAAGTTATTTTCTTCTTATTTTTTTACAGTACAGTTTAAGAAAGTTCCAATGTTATGTAAAAACCTTAAGAAAATACTAAAGTATTTTGTTTGAATTGAAAATTCAGTACAAATCAGTACAAATTAAAAAAATCAGGACATTGGCGTATTGATTGAAGAAATGAATAAAATCAGTACAAGAGTTAAAAAATCAGTACAGTACTGATAAAATCAGTACGTCTGGCAACCGTATTCGTAACAAAAATTTTATGAAGAAATCGTAACGGGGATTCTTTGGAAAAAATACAAGGACCTAAATATATAGTGGGACTCGACATTTTTGCAAGTTTTGGCTACATCTCTTTAGTTTATTTAATGCTTATATCTTATGAAAATATAGCTGATTACCTAACGAACGCCATATAAATCCAAACTTTGTCCAAAAATTATTAAAATTCTGCAAAATTTCACCAAAATTTCCAACTTTTTAATCAGCATCCTTACAAAAATAATGGTATGCAGTCTTATAATCAGGGACGGTTATAACTTTTATTATAAAAATTACTTTTTAATCGTTATTAATTGAGTTTTATTTTTTTTGCTCAAAACATAACGATTATCATTTGAGTTTTATTTTTAACTCAGAAAATAATCGTTATGTTTTGAGTTTCATTTTTTACTCGGAAAATAATCGTTACGTTTTAAATGAAGATGAAGATGAAGATGAAGATGAAGATAAAGATAAAGATAAAGATAAAGATAAAGATAAAGATAAAGATAAAGATAAAGATAAAGATAAAGATAAAGATAAAGATAAAGATA